CCCCAAAACCCCAAAACCCCAAAACCCCAAAACCCCAATATTCTTTAGAAATATTGAAGGATCGACTAAGTTAAAATATTGTGCATTTTTTCTTCTTTGTTTCTTCAGTCTCTGGATACTCATTATTGATTTCCTCTTTGGATTTCATGAGGGCATCTTGAGTGCAGCCAGCCTTCATCATGGCTTCAACATCTTTTTCATCCATTAATTGCCCATTAATGTCTATTTCCTTCTTGCTCTTGCTAGAAAGTTTGATAAGGGAATAAAACACTTGATTAATGGTATGATTACTTCAGATATCAATTTTCAGGTAAGGAATATCAGGATTTGAGGATGCAAATTCATCGATTTCAGGAAATTTCTCACTCTGAGGCTTTTCCAGCTCCTGTTTCACTTGATCTAGCTCGTCAGAGTCAAGAGTATCGGCAAGGGCTTCCATATCCTCAGGGATATGGGTATTTTCGAGGATCATCACATTTTGGCACTTTTTCTCTTCAACAAGAGTCTTTATTTTGTCAAATTCTTTAAATGTCCAAGGGAAATTTCTGTTAAAAGGAAACAAAAAGCAGTCTGTGCTTCTTATAGAATGGGTGGATAGCTGATGAGGAGTGAAATAAGAGCATAACAAAGATATCTTCTCGTCAGAAAAGAAAAAACAGTTGAAGAATCAGAACATGTCTTGACAAGGCCCGTATATATCTTTAATTGCAGTTTCGACAGGCATGTACTCCAAGAGGCCTGAAATAATCACTGTATAGCAATCTTCTTTATTAGGAGTGAAAGTCTCTTTAGAAGCTTTCCTAGCATTCTTGACTGCTGAGATAAATCTCTTTCGCTTCTTTCCAAGTTGGTTCTTAGCAGAGATGTTCTTGGACATATTCTGAGGATCGTCAATAATTCTGAGCTTAGTAAAGTTTTGATGAAATACATTGTTCCAGACTATATCGTTTGAATAAATGTCGTAAAACCATTTATTCAGCAGGAGCATCTTGTTGATGGTTTCGATATCCATGAAGTAGCTGAGATACCACAGAACTGAGGTCTTTGATTTCAGCTCTTTTAGAGCTGGGGAATCTTTCATTTTATAAAATAAATTTTACAACTGAAGAAATGAAGGCAGGGGTTTTGGGGTTTTGGGGTTTTGGGGTTTTGGGG